AAATATGGCTCCATCTGTCTTGTATGGCTTCTGATCATGTTGGGATGTGAGATATGTAAATATGGCTCCATCTGTCTTGTATGGCTTCAGATCATGTTGGGATGTGAGATATGTAAATATGGCTCCATCTGTCTTGTATGGCTTCTGATCATGTTGGGATGTGAGATATGTAAATATGGCTCCATCTGTCTTGTATGGCTTCAGACCATGTTGGGATGTGAGATATGTAAATATGGCTCCATCTGTCTTGTATGGCTTCTGACCATGTTGGGATGTGAGATATGTAAATATGGCTCCATCTGTCTTTGGGATGTGAGATGGCTTCAGATCATGTTGGGATGTGAGATATGTAAATATGGCTCCATCTGTCTTGTATGGCTTCTGACCATGTTGGGATGTGAGATATGTAAATATGGTTCCATCTGTCTTGTATGTAATATGTAAATATGGCTCCATCTGTCTTGTATGGCTTCTGACCATATGTATGGCTTCCTGACCATGTTGGGATGTGATATATGTAAATATGGCCCATCTGTCTTGTATGGCTTCTGATCATGTTGGGATGTGAGATATGTAAATATGGCTCCATCTGTCTTGTATGGCTTCTGACCATGTTGGGATGTGAGATATGTAAATATGGCTCCATCTGTCTTGTATGGCTTCTGACCATGTTGGGATGTGAGATATGTAAATATGGCTCCATCTGTCTTGTATGGCTTCTGACTTGTTGGGATGTGATATATGTAAATATGGCTCCATCTGTCTTGTATGGCTTCTGATCATGTTGGGATGTGAGATATGTAAATATGGTTCCATCTGTCTTGTATGGCTTCTGATCATGTTGGGATGTGAGATATGTAAATATGGTTCCATCTGTCTTGTATGGTTTCAGATCATGTTGGGATGTGAGATATGTATATATGGCTCCATCTGTCTTGTATGGCTTCTGACCATGTTGGGATGTGAGATATGTAAATATGGCTCCATCTGTCTTGTATGGCTTCTGACCATGTTGGGATGTGAGATATGTAGATATGTAATGCGTCTTGTATGGCTCCATCTGTCTTGTATGGCTTCTGACCATGTTGGGATGTGAGATATGTAAATATGGCTCCATCTGTCTTGTATAGCTTCTGACCATGTTGGGATGTGAGATATGTAAATATGGCTCCATCTGTCTTGTATGGCTTCTGACCATGTTGGGATGTTGGGATGATATGTAAATATGGCTCCATCTGTCTTGTATGGCTTCTGATCCATGTTGGGATGTGATGTAAATATGGCTCCATCTGTCTTGTATGGCTTCAGATCATGTTGGGATGTGAGATATGTAAATATGGCTCCATCTGTCTTGTATGGCTTCAGATCATGTTGGGATGTGAGATATGTATCTGTATGGCTCCATCTGTCTTGTATGGCTTCATCTGATCCATGTTGTGGATGTGATATATGGCTCCACCTGTCTTGTATGGCTTCTGACCATGTTGGGATGTGAGATATGTAAATATGGCTCCATCTGTCTTGTATGGCTTCTGACCATGTTGGGATGTGAGATATGTAAATATGGCTCCATCTGTCTTGTATGGCTTCTGACCATGTTGGGATGTGAGATATGTAAATATGGCTCCATCTGTCTTGTATGGCTTCTGACCATGTTGGGATGTGAGATATGTAGATATGGCTCAATCCGTCTTGTATGGCTCCACCTGTCTTGTATGGCTTCTGAATGTAAATATGGCTCCATGTTGGGATGTGAGATATGTAGATATGGCTCAATCCGTCTTCTGTCTTGTATGGCTTCTGACCATGTTGGGATGTGAGATATGTAAATATGGCTCCATCTGTCTTGTATGGCTTCTGACCATGTTGGGATGTGAGATATGTAAATATGGCTCAATCCGTCTTGTATGGCTCCATCTGTCTTGTATGGCTTCTGACCATGTTGGGATGTGAGATATGTAAATATGGCTCCATCTGTCTTGTATGGCTGTGTTGGGATGTGAATGTAAATATGGCTCCATGTCTTGTGTGGCTTCTAATCATGTTGGGATGTGAGATATGTAAATGGCTCCATCTGTCTTGTATGGCTTCTGACCATGTTGGGATGTGAGATATGTATATATGGCTCCATCTGTCTTGTATGGCTTCTGACCATGTTGGGATGTGAGATATGTATATATGGCTCCATCTGTCTTGTATGGCTTCTGACCATGTTGGGATGTGAGATATGTAAATATGGCTCCATCTGTCTTGTATGGCTTCTGACCATGTTGGGATGTGAGATATGTAAATATGGCTCCATCTGTTTCTGACCATGTTGGGATGTGAGACTACAAGTGTGGGGTACTGGGGACCTATTGTTACCCTGAATCACTCATGACAACCATCCAACCCCATCTCACCATCATTTCACTGAGGGTTAGACTATTCAAGTGTGGGTCTAACCTATTCTTACTGAGGAGCCCAAGGAGATCTACCTTTAACCGATCAAGTCTTGTCCTGGTATTCTTATAAATACTTAATAATACAAGAAAGAGTGTCGGAATGTTCTTAAGTGTTTATAATAATAGCAGATCAAGGAAGTTCAATATTATGTTGTCCACCTGACAACATACCCAATGACAAACGGGATGGATCTATTTCCGATCAATCACACCATTTCTCTTCTCTATTGAAGTAAAAAGGACAAGCGTTCACTCGTGTTATAGTATTGTAGAACTCCTATATCTTTATGATAGGTTTTGACGGTCATTGGAGTACACTTGCAACGTCTTTCTTGTGTTGATTTTCACTATTTTAATGTGTGTAGACATTAGTCCGGTTCTGAGTTGGGTAAATGCGTCTGTTTTCCCCGAGGCAGAATCACATATTGAACCACACTGGTATCGTTCATCGTATTCCAATTGATCGATACTCATGATATGAATCACTGGATTGTCTGGTCCAGACTCGATTATTTACAGATCGCCACTATAAAGCTGGAATATTGCCAAGTGCTCACTCACTAATGCGGCACAGCAATATTCCGGCCGGAGGACGGCTGCCTGTAAACAATCGAGACTTACCCGTAAACCCAGTGACATGAGGGCGTCCAAAACAAAACATGATATCTTAATTATTTATGTTTATTTCGTCAGCAGTGCACAAGTGTAGAGTTTGTTCAACGTACAAGCATACACTTGTAAAAATATGTCGTTTTTGCAACACTGGGAGAAGGAATGGGTAGTTTTACTGTCTCGGCCCAAGCTGTTTTCTTGTAATCTATACAAGTTATGAGCTTGTGATGAAACTAATATAAGGACTGCAGTGTGTCAGCAGAAAGGTCGACCCAGTTAAAGTATATGTAATACGTCAACAGCCTCGATCCTCCATCGAAACAAAGAAACAAATATACATACATGTAATTGATTAATCATGCAATTATTTTCAGTGTTAAGAAAGGTGGAAATAGTTTGGAAACTGAATAACTTTTTAACAGATTTTCTTGATCTAGGTTATTGATAGACTCGAATATCTTGTGAAAGGTAACAACACATATCATAGTTCAATTAAGTTCTATTTTGGAAAGAATTTGATTTTTAATGAAGAACAAGACATATTATATAAGCCCTAGGGGACAAAGGATAAACATACGCTGTGGAAATGTGATTCGGTTTTAATTTATTTCCTTGGTTGACAATGGGTGGAAGTTGGGAAATGACCCAGTGAACCCAACCCCATGTCCTTAAGTTGTGGTTTTATCACAGCCTGCACCACAACAGAAGTCCTGCCTGTACTAATCTGTGAGGATGGGACATCTGATCGGAGGACTTTCCCTGAGATTAGTAGCCCGCAGCCTCATTCTGTTGGTACTGGTGGAGAGGCTCCTACCTTCCACTGCCCGCACAGTTCTTACCATGGGATTGGGTCTTGACAGGTAATTGTATGTTTGTTTGTTGTTCAACGACGCACTCAGCACTATTCCAGCTATGTGTTGGCGCTCTGAAAATAATCTGAGTTTGGACCAGATTATCCAATGATTGACAACATGAGCATCAATCTACGCAACTGAGATGTGGTGACGTGTCAACCAAGTCAGCGAGCATGACCACCCAAACCTATTAATTGACTTTTACAAGCATGGGTTGCTGAAGACCTATTCAAATCCCGATCTTCACTGGACCAATCATGCAGATAATACGAGTTAAACGAATTGAAAAAAACCATTACTTTTCAACTTTCAACAGTGCAGCTAAGTTGAATCTGCAATAAAGTATTGTAAACCCATCACCTCCGATTTTGAAATTTCAATGGTTTTCAAAAATTGTTGTAATTGTTGGTAAAGACCAATTTCATCTGGCATGCATCCAACCTGTGTGAAATAGCTATAAACGACACGATCTTCAACTTTTAATATCACTGCTAACATACTCAGAGGGTGTCTGTCGATATAGGTGAGGTGAAATTGGGTTTAACGTCGTGCTTGAGAATATTTCGCTCATATGACGACTTGCATGCGTGTGTATGTGTATGTGCGGCTGCTTGTACTAGCCCAGGCTAAAGCTGGTTTTATAGTGCTAGCCCAATGAAATGCCATGCCGCATTAAAGCATGAATACTCCACTCAGACACATTATACTGACTCTGAGCCGACCAGTCCTTGTTGTACCTATTATGCCGAGCCAGGCAGGGACCAACAAGTACCATATAGCATTGTGACATCATATGTCTAGCAGTATTACACTAGTGTAATATTGCCATAAAAATATCACACTGCAGTATCTTCCACGGTAAGTAATACATATCATTGTAACCCCATTCCCTGGATCAATGCTCATGATGTCAATCACATGATTGTTTGGTCCACCTTTGTAGAAGAGGAATATAGCTGAAGAACTGGAAACAGATTACAATAGCTCTGGACAAATTAAAAGATAAAGAAGAACCCTCTTCACACACTGATATATAGCTGAAAGGAACTCAAGACTTCAACCTAAGCCATGTCATAATAAATTTGATACCTTGTTTAAAACAGCTCAGTTTTATTTTGTACCAATCATACAAATTGCACTTGACAAATGTTCACAATTAAAAAAGTACTTCCGTTATACTTTTGTAGACAAATGTTCTTATTCTTTTGCAGACATATGGTTTTTTTCTATTGTCAACCAATCTCCTTCACAATGTAGGAATCTACAGATAGTTCTTTCTTCACTTCCATCGTATCTCCTGCTCACACTGTCTCCAGAGTTTTTACAAAATCCTACATCCATCATGTCTGCTCCATCTCTCCGACACCATCCTTGGTGGTCAGTGAGTCAACTTTCACTTCTTTAAGATCTCCTTCTTTTGAATCAACCTTCTCTTCTTCAGATCCCACTTTAAGATCCCCATCTTTTGAATCAACTGTGTCTTCTTTGGAGGCTCCCTCTCCTTCTGTGGATTCCCCAACTCCAGCTTCATCCTTCCCAGAGCTGTCAGTGTTTGCAGCCTTTGCTGCCTCTGCAGCTTTCTTTCTTGCCTTCTGTTCCTGAACTCGCGCTCCTGTAACAGTTGGTACAGCATTAATAAAACAAGAAAAAATTGTGTCCAGGGACACGGATGCACCCGCTGACATTCATAAGACATATAAAGACCTATAATTGAACAAAATTCAAGAACAAGTTCAATAAACATCTATGCAACTCTGAGATGCACACCTTTCGAGTCCCAATGAAACACATGTATAAGCTTAATCAATTCTGTTGAGCAGTTTTTGTGGAGAAGTGGATAGACTAAATCCCCTATTTCACTATCATCAGAGAGAAATTCAACAAAATGTATCAAAGTTCAAATGTCTCTAAACATACCAAAAAACCTATAAAATACAAAAACAAAATATGAGATGCACACCTTTAGAGTCTCTATAAAAGACATATGTAAGCTAAATGAGTTTTGTGCAGTGGTTTTTGAGAAGTGGATAAAGTACACCCCCTGATGTATGGGACGAACAGGATGAATAGAACCAAATTCAACTAAGTTCAAACATCTGTAGAAGTGACAACATTAAGAAATTGGATGAACAAGGTATGAGATGCACACCTTTAGAGTTCCAATGAAAAACACGTAGAAGCTCAATCAATTCTGCTGAGCAGTTTTTGTGGAGAAGTGGATAGACTTCATCACCTATTACACTATCATCATAGAGAAATTCAGCAAAATGTACCTAACTTCAAATGTCTCTAAACTTACAAAAAACAACAATAAAATACAAAAACAAAATATGAGATGCACACCATTAGAGTCCCAAGAAAGCCCATGTATAAGTTCATTGAATTCTACAGAGCGTTTTTTGTGGAGAAGTGGATAGAGTACATTCCCTGTTTTGTACGGAGGGTAACCCTATATGCCCCCAGCCATATATGGCGGGGGCAAAAAAACATAGGCAGATCCAACACCCACATACCCTTTTAGACCTGAAAGTTTATTAAATGACCATTGAAACTCTCGTGAAAAGGGTGAAAATGAACTGTGCAACCCCTCTCCTTTCTCAAAAAGCTGTATCCGCCCCTGATAAAAGACAGGTTTTTTTAAACAAAGTCAGTTGTATTTCGATAATCTTTCAATAAATCCATCCTTTTTGTCTGATTTATCTGTCCCAGATTTTACAAAAGTACAACAGTATCACTTCACCTCAGATGATAAATGGGATGTTTGACAATTACAGCATCATTTGACTTACACAGGAAAGGTTATTAGTCAGGTAATTAGTGAAACAATCAGTGTGAATCAATTGGAAAATGTATATATTTTTCAAGAATTAATCTGAAAATTGGTAAATCTGAACATGAGTGATAATTTGACTTATAGTGACCATGACCATATACAGATGTCATCAAACGCTGACACAATTGAGATCCCTAACTTGATCCTTCAAACAATATGCCAAAGCATTTTCACTGTGTTTGCAATAATTGCTGCAATGAAAGTAAACAGGAATTTGGCAGTGCTATTTGATAATTTGAGTTTACTCTCATACTCAGCAACATTTTAACAATATCGAGAGAGTGAGTGAGTTATTTTTATGTGGCTTTAAGCAACAATATCGAGAGAAGACAAAAAACATGAGTATTACTAATCAAACCAAGAGTATAATTCAAACTGCAAGGCAACAAAACATCACTCTGTCTCTTGAAAACAAAAAAGTTTTCAAAAGCAAGCCAGCTAAAGAGAAAGCAAGTACAACATCAGATGAAACATACTTATTTCCTGAAGATCCGTCCCACACAGGAAGAGGAAGTGTTGTCTGTCAAAGGTGGAGACAAAGGATCTAATGGAGACCTTCCCTCTCCATCCGGTCACTGTTATATCACATTTAGGCTCAGGTTCCCTGAAACAAGAAACATCATATACACAGGGCCCCAGATAATTTTTCAACATCAGGGGTATGTACTCCTTATTTGTTCAATATAGGAGTACTGGAAAAACCTTTAGAGCACTCAATGGAATTTAATGGCGTATCAGTAATCTTGTGTTTTGTTTCATATATGCACCACAACATTGCTAGTCTTGTGTAAACAGGTCAATAAACAATAAAACAATACTTTTTCAGATAAATATGTCTGTAAATGATTCTAAGACCAAACACCATTGCTGTGGTGAGTATCTGCTATGTTTTCTAAAAACATTCCTACCATATCGTGCATATTTTTTATCTATACAAACACTGATACGGCCCTTAATCTGGAGCCCTGTAAACACATCAATACACAGGTGGCTACTGACTACCTTGATCTATAATCTTTCATGTCTGTTTTGCAGGAACAGGTTAACTTAAAGGGCAAGTTTACATGACAATAAACTTTTCTGTCTTTCTCTTTTTCACAAAAGTATTCATCTAGAAGTTTCATACCCAAAAGAGTACAGATATCAGAATAACTAATTTGCATTTCATCAATTCATATTTTGCACATTTACAGAGAGTTCTATTTCGAAAACAAGAAGACATGGTCATCAAAATCCCCCAACACAGTGTTCCGTTATGACTTGGTTCCTGTTATTTAACTCAACCACGACATTCATGCCTTGAAAACTCATATCAAATTTGGTTTCCCTACCTATAACTGTTTCTAGATATCTGTCCCTATTGGGGATACCGTGCACTAAGTCAAGAAACACATGACAAGGGCCATAACTCTGTTACAAATTGTAACACGGTTTCCATCAAGGCATTCGTGTCCTGAAACCAGGGTTTTACACAGACTTTTGAAATGGGAGTCATGGTGACTCACAATAATCAGTCAGGATTACTGTCTCCTCTGAGTTCTCTGGAACAATCTGACAGCTCTGTAAAAGTCAAACTATCATCGAACAATATCATATTTTGCTTATCAAATCGATTTTATTGAACTGAATTGTGAGGGCCACCAATAAAACTTGCGTCAAGCTTGACTCGTATGATAATATTTTGAGAGTCGTTTACAAAATCGTTGCGTCAAATACGCAGGAATCACATGTCATGTAAAACCCTGTGAAAACGCATACCAAATTTGGTATCCCTATCTATAATAGTTTTGGAGAAAATTTGTCCCCATCATCTTGGACCGAAGGACGTCCAGAGCTCAAACCTATGTCCACCTCCATTATTACAATTTTGCACAGTCACATGAAATCGACAGGCCAACTCTGATGATTTGTCTCATAAGTTTGGACACACGAATAAAACAGTTGTTTAACAAAACGATCATTATTTTGTTGTCACTTTTCGCTATTGTTTTCAAGGGGGGACCACTTGCTATTAGAACAGCCAGGTAATCAACAAGCGTATATAGTGAATTTCAATTTCACACCTGCAACTCACACACCTGTGCATCTGTGACTCGTGAAGATCCGGGTTATAACTGATCTTCCGTGACCAATGCTTGTCGTAAGAGGCGACTAACGGGATCAGGTGGTCAGGTTCTCAGTCTGGGTTGACACATGTCATCGTATCCCAATTGCGGAGATCGATGTTCATATTGATAATCCCTGGACTGTCTGGTCCAGATCTGATTATTTACAGAAAGACGCCATATAGCTGGAATATTGCTGAGTGTGGCGTAAAAAACTAAACTCACTCACTCACTCACCTGTGCATCTGTTACACCTGTGTAGGCTCAGTGTATGAACAGTCAGGACCTACTGACAGATTAGTCAAGGCAACTTAAAACAAGACGGAGAGAAATCAAGAAATTCTTACTGTTCACTTGGCGTGAAACGAAATACAGCACTCCCAGGACCTGAAGGTTAAAACAGGAACATTTTAGACAGGTGCAGCTTTAAAAGATTACTCCCATATGAAATCATGAATAACTCTACACTGCTGCTTGGACGGTAACTGGGCCACCCTTTTAGCCCTCCACTGAAAAGACTATCTGTTTTCATCAGAGACTGTCTGTTGACTAAATATGTTGACTACCACAATCCATAATATTACACAGAGAATCTCACCCAAGTGTCTACTGATATCAGTTAAATCCAACACGAGGTGATAAGCTTTTATCAACAAGTGTTGATATAATTGATATCAGTAGACAACGAGGGTGAGATTCTATTTATCACCAAATATCACTCTTCATTAGTTTTCAATGAAAAATGTACATCTCTGAACACAGTACAACTTTAGACTTGCAATGCAGCGATGTCATAGGATTGTGACGTCATCAAGTTTATCTGTCATTAAACCACTAGGGAAAGTTATGTCCATTGTTCTTGGAAGTGTTTTATTAGCATAACTGATTAACTGACCTAGGGCAATTATTTCTATTTAAAAACAATAAAATTGTACTTATTTTGATAATCTTCATCCTGCCTAATACATTACACGTGTATTAAATATGTATGCCCTCATGGTGTAAGCCGTTTAATCACCCTCACTATGGTAGTTATTTAAGTAACTACCTTGTAAGGGTGATTAACCTATACTTAACCACTAGAAATTAAGCAAAATTAACCAATCAAACAAGATCATTCTTCACTATTGTGATAAGCAATGAATGAGATAACCCTTACAATTGCAACATGTCTTACACAATGCTGAAAAGTGAAAATGTAAGCAAATATGTATTTCGTACATATTTATCGTTACTCAAAGCCTTAATGACTCACCTAGTTTATCAATCTGCTCCTGTGTATCCTTGGTAAACTTGATGATGTATGGGTTTTCCTCACTCAACAGCATGATGAGATCAGACTTGGCAACAGTTACAAACCGGCCGGGAAACCACTTGTACAGAAGACCCACACACTGAAATATAGAACAAATTATTAAGGAAAAGAAAGGGCATAAGCTCCTGAAATTCTTCAATACAGTGTATGAAATAAGCCAAAATCCCAGCCAGACATAACTTCAAAATGTTACCAGCCCAAAATGGATTTAACCAGACCAGACACCAAGATATTGTGAATTTACTCAGATATTTACTCAGGCCTTATTTCATACACTGCTTCAATACCCATCCAAACACACACCCTTTTGTGCACCCACCACTGCAGACAAAACATGTCTGTGTGCCCATCTGAGCGCCAACCTGAACGTGCTACTTGACGCCAAGCTTGGTAACCCATTCAGCAGTAAACTTGCCAACCATCTTGACACCATACATCCTCAACTTTCATTGTGTGCAGCTGATATACATCTCATTCATATAATATCCATTCTCACAGGGTGGAAGCGCTGTCCACACGAAATGTGGAGTTGCCCCAAAAGCAACTCCATTTCCTCGCTGGACAGTGAAAGAAGGACACGTGGTGCAAGAATAAAGGTAGGTTTTTCCTTGCATTTTCATTATTTTGCAAGTATATCAGGTTTTGCCATTTGGCCAGAAGGATCTAGAAAGTTACAGATCTTTCTGTAATAGCTTGACACCCTCTCTATTTATTACAATTGTGCGTTAAGCGAGGTCACCCTCCTGAGTATCGAAACAAGATAGCGGAAAATGATAGTTTCAACACAAAATATGACATCCTCATCAGCTGACACACCTTTTTTTGCTGTCAATTCTTAGATATAGTGATTTTAGGTCTTCATTCGCAGTTTAGGCTTTAATGCGTTTCAATTATCGTCGAAAAATAAATCTGTACATTTTATATGGAGTTGTTCACATTTAGCAAAAATACTGTCCATTGCGTTGTGATTTTACTGTCCAGGAGTTGACAGCTTATAGTTTTAATCGTCAGGTGATCAAACGTTATTCTAGAGATATTTGTTGTGAAGAAGAATGTTTTGTTACTGCCTGCCTGGCATATTTATTACGATTTTTTACCTTCAAGTACACCCTCATTGCAGTTTGTACCCTGTCTGCGATTTATTGGATAAAAACACATATTAATTTGTTTTTAAAAAAAACATGCATTCGTTTCACTTCAGCTTTACTTAACAGCATAAACACGACATGAAAACTAAGCTAAACAAGAGTGACCTCCCTTTCAAGTCACTTTCGCGCGCATTAGTAACTACTCGTGTCATTCCGGGAAGCAGGATGGCGTCTCGTACCCCTCTTGTGGCCATGTTTACGACTGGGCCCTGTCGAAGCGCAAACTGGCATGGAGATGAAAATAGTCTAGTACTATTAGCAAGGAAAGATAACTCTGAATTTCCAAACATGGCTCCTAGAATATCCTATATCCCTTGGGCAAAACAGCAATACAGTCATTTCCTTTGTAAATATGTTTTAGTGCTTAAAGTTTCTGATCCTTTAGCTCAAAGTTTGTTTAAATTGTGCATTGCATAGTTTAGCGAAGTTTCAAACTTCAACGGTGCCGCCATTTTCATGCTTCGAAATGCGTTTTACTACGCGTGATTTGATTGGTTTGCCACGATCGTGTTCACTGTTCAAGCGAGGAAATTGAGTTGCTTTTGGGGCAACTCCACATTTCGTGTGGACAGCGCTTCCACCCTGTGATTCTTACCTCTTGTGAAATTCTGAAGTCACACTCAGGAACGATGGGCGATGGATTCCGGCTACACAATTTGAACCCCATGTTGATGAACTGAAACGATTTTTTTTAGAAATGATGCATTTCCCTTTTGTGTTTTGCGTAACACACGAACGTATGTCATGTGCCTCACTCTGTCAACAAGTCATAACACACAAACGTATGTCATGTGCCTCACTGTGTCAACAAGTCATAACACACAAACGTATGTCATGTGCCTCACTGTGTCAACAAGTCATAACACACAAACGTATGTCATGTGCCTCACTGTGTCAACAAGTCATAACAACAAGTCATAACACAAACGTATGTCATGTGCCTCACTGTGTCAACAAGTCATAACACAAAAACGTATGTCATGTGCCTCACTGTGTCAACATCATAACACACAAACATATGTCATGTGCCTCACTGTGTCAACAAGTCATAACACAAAACGTATGTCATGTGCCTCACTGTGTCAACAAGTCATAACACACAAACGTACGTCATGTGCCTCACTGTGTCAACAAGTCATAACACACAAACGTACGTCATGTGCCTCACTGTGTCAACAAGTCATAACACACAAACGTACGTCATGTGCCTCACTGTGTCAACAAGTGTTAACTCAAAAGTTTGTGAGGACAACATTATGATCAACATGACTGATGACTAAACTAGAGTATTTCACTTAGTCTTTAGAAGCTTTCAATACCGCCTAAGATATGAATTCCTATGGCAACTTTTCAACATACCTTTTAGGAAAGCTTATAATTGAAGGCAGTGTTACAGTGTAATATTTTCACAACTCCAAGCAACCATTCTGTTACAAATTAGGAAAACCATTATACAGTCCCTAAATAGCAAATGGCAGCAGTTCAAGGGGCAACTGGCATGAATACAAGGATTACTACTAGGTTACCATGGAAAATTAAACAACTGTATATTTCAAAATATGCAATGAGTAATACAATAATCAAATCATTTTCTTAAAGTGTCTTAAATATTTACTTATAGGATCTTAACCTTCTTAACTTTTCAAGATCCAACAAGTTGAACCCAATGTCAGCAAATCCTAGCTCCTTAGATTTCTGTGCCCCATATGGCCCCACACACTGGAGTGGTTGTATGAGAGGAACTCACCTTGATTCTGTCGATGTTGCACTGCACTATCCTGCGGATGTAGGGAGACACATAATACAGGTTTTTCTTGTTTCCCAGCTGCGACCTGTACATGATCTGTGTCACTGGGAAGTTGTCCGGAACCTTGTAGAATTCCCTAAAACAACACCAAAACTCAGTGTCAAAAGCCTTCACAACAAATCTCATTACGTTTCAGAACAATGGCTCCTTTGCATCATCTAATATCACCTTAATAACTAAGGAGAAACTTAACTGGTTACCTGAGGAATAAAACTTGAGCCTTTCATCGGATATCAGATCATTTCCAGCAAGGGACATTAGCCCTACAGCTCCTGAAAGTCTATGTCAAAAGATGCCACTAGATAATCTAAGATATGAGGTGAGGTGAGGTGAGATGAAATTGGGTTTAACGTCGTGCTTGAGAAAATTTAGCTCATATGACGACTTGCATGCGTGTGTATGTGCATGTGCTGCTGCTTGTACTAGCCCAGACTTAAGCTGGTTTTATAGTGCTAGCCCACTGAGATACCATGCCGCAGTGAAGCATGAATACCCCACTCAGACACATTATACTGACTCCAAGCCGACCAGTCCTTGTTGTACCCATTAATGCCGTGCGCCAGGCAGGGACCAATTAAGTCTTTTGGTATGACGTGGTCAGAGATCAAACCCGCAACCTTCCGCTCTCCTCTAAGCTATGATCAGACACCACCACCATCACTGCTTTAGAGAACAGGGTCTGAGCAGACACATCAAAACCAGAACATGAATTCAGATAGTAACACCCTAGATATCATTGTTACAGCCAGGGTATCATTTTCCCAAATTGTCAGACAGCCTTTATAGTATTGAGTCCTAATTTCAGTAACCTTTAGCATCTATCGAACCAAACCTTGCTTTGTCTACTAACGTCTCTGAACTAGGTTTTGTACAGTCTTCATATTGCTGAACAGTGACCTGAGTTTATGCACTTTCTACGTACATAATGACAATCAGAGACGAGGCAAACTGATGCAGGAGTGCATGGTGACAGTAGACACGAGACTCATAATAAGAACTCATCTGGACTAAAACTGAGGAATCATCAACGTAGGCAACATCCATCAGGTCATATTACTGTCTTCAGAGTTTATTCAGAAGACCATCGTGTGCTTTCATCATGTGTTGGGGTCTGTGTCTTCAATAATACTTAAAACTGGACAATCCTCTGCCTCTATTGCTCACAAGTCACTATATGGAACTTTGTGCAGATGCTTGGGGGTGAAAGGTCAGTTACGATGATACCATGGTTATGTGAACCACACCATCAGGGTACCATGACACAATTATTGTCACCATGGTTATGTGAACCACACCATCAGGGTACCATGAAACAATTATTGTCACCATGGTTATGTGAACCACACCATCAGGGTACCATGAAACAATTATTGTTACCATGGTTATGTGAACCACACCATCAGGGTACCATGACACAATTATTGTTACCATGGTTATGTGAGCCACATCATCAGGGTACCATGACACAATTATTGTCACCATGTTATCTGAACCATACCATCAGGGTACCATGACACAATTAGTTACCATGTTATGTGAACCATACCATCAGGGTACCATGATACAATTATTGTCACCATGGTTATATGAGCCACACCATCAGGGTACCATGACACAATTATTGTCACCATGGTTATGTGAACCACACCATCAAGGTACCATGGTTATTAGAGTTACCATGGTTATATGAAATATACCATCAGGGTACACATGATCACACTTACTTGATAGGGGGCCACACTTTATCATCGGCATCCATGAACAGGAAGGGATCTTCCTTAAATCCATAAGTCTTCTGTCTCTTCTGAGATGGCATTCTGTGGAAAGAGACAACATATTGTTCCCATCACACTACTCTTCAGCAACTGGTTGACAATTTCAACAAGAAGACAAAGTCATCAATATCCCCCGCAATGGCAAAATACTCAATGAATATGTCAATTAGTTACGACTATGACAAATGTTCTGGCGGGTATATAGAAGTGAATGAGTGAGTGAGTGAGATTAGTTTTATGCCACACTCAGCAATATTCCAGCTGTCAGTATATAATAGGATCTGGACCAGATAATCCAGTGTTCAACAACACAAGCATCGATCTACACAATTGGGATACAATGATATGTGTCAACCAAGTCAGTGACTATATTGTGACTATATTGCAAAGTGGAAGGAGAATATTGAAAGGTTTTTATATTATGTTCCAGAAAAAAGCACTACCAATTTCAGTCAAAGTCAAACTTGTTGCCATGGAAACGGTTTTAGAGTTCTGCTCCGGAAAACACAAATGTGCACGGATCGGACACACCGCGGATGGACGCTTAGATGGAGTCCATTTTAGTACCCCCTGCAAAACGTGTTGCGGGGATAAAAAGATATTATTATCAGAAATCCAAAACAACCACAAGGCACCAGTTCACCGGACACCCATCTATGTGCCAAGTTTGGTGAAGAAATGTTGAACGGTTTTAAAGTTCTGTCTCGGAAAAGACAAATGTTCACTGGACGCACAGAAACAAGAACCAGGTCACCGCCCATCCACTTTGGAATACACTTTAAGAAAATTACAAAGACGCGTTTTCCTGATCAGGATCCCCATATTATGGTACTAAAATTAGCAATGGTTGTCACAATGATCTTTAAATTGTCAATGTAGTATGTCCTAATGGTTTGCTTTTTGGTTCATTGTTTAATGTTGCCCTCAGCAGCATTCAACTTATATGAAAGCCATTGTAAACAAGAGTCATCAGAAGAACACAAATCCCCCCGGACCCCATAAATTTGAAAGAACAAATCACCTGACAGTTACTTAGGTCCAAATTGATTTTTGGGACTAGGTCCAAATTGTTTCCATGGAAATCAGGAAAAATAAAATGCCAAAAATCTGCAAATAGCAAAAGGCACCACTTTAGGTTTTGTTTGATATATCTACCAAGTCTTGCAGAAAGATATTGAACGGTATCCGAGTTGTGCTCCGGAAACAAAGCTCACCCATCTCTTTTGAGACTATGTCCGAAACGTTTCCATGGAAACCAAGAAAAATAAAAATGACAAAAATCTGTAAATAGCAAAAGGCACCATGTTGGGATCTGCCTGATATCTGCCAAGTTTTGAGTTGTGCTCGGAAACAAGCTCATCCATCCCTCTTGATATTAAGTCTGAATCGTTTCCATGGAAACCGGAAAAATAAAATGCCAAAATCTGCAAACAGGAAAAGGCACCACTTTAGCTTATGTCTGATATATCTACCAAGTCTTGAAGAAAGATATTAATCGGTTTTGAGTTATGCTTCGGAAACGCGAAGGTCCTCCTCCTTTTTTAGATTAAGTTCAACTCGTTTCCATGGAAACCACGAAAAAATAAAAATGCCAAAATCTGGAAACAGCAAAAGGCCACTTCAAGAACTGTCTCATATATCTGCTAAGTTCTGTTGAAACCTATTGAGCGGTTTTGAGTTGTGCTCGAAAGCGAAGTCCATCCCTCTGTTTTGAGGCTAAGTCCAAAACATTTCCATGGAAACCAAGAGAAAATATAAATGCCAAAATATGCAAATAACAAAAGGCACCACTTTAGGTTCTGTTTGATATATCTACCATGTTTTGTTGAAATAATAGGATCTGGACCAGATAATCCAGTGTTCAACAACACAAGCATCGATCTACACAATTGGGATACAATGATATGTGTCAACCAAGTCAGTGACTATATTGCAAAGTGGAAGGAGAATATTGAAAGGTTTTATATTATGTTCCAGAAAAAAGCACTACCAATTTCAGTCAAAGTCAAACTTGTTGCCATGGAAACGGTTTTAGAGTTCTGCTCCGGAAAACACAAATGTGCACGGACGGACACACGGATGGACGCACAGATGGAGTCCATTTTAGTACCCCCTGCAAAACGTGTTGCGGGGGATAAAAAGATATTATTATCAGAAATCCAAAACAACCACAAGGCACCAGTTCACCGGGACACCTATCTATGTGCCAAGTTTGGTGAAGAAATGTTGAACGTGTTTTAAAGTTCTGCTCCGGAAAAGACAAATGTTCACTGACGCACAGAAACAAGAACCAGGTCACCGCCCATCCACTTTGGAATACACTTTAAGAAAATTACAAAGACGTTTTCCTGATCAGGATCCCCATATTATGGTACTAAAATTAGCAATGGTTGTCACAATGATCTTTAAATTGTCAATGTAGTATGTCCTAATGGTTTGCTTTTTTGGTTCATTGTTTAATGTTGCCCTCAGCAGCATTCAACTTATATGAAAGCCATTGTAAACAAGAGTCATCAGAAGAACACAAATCCCCCCGGACCCCATAAATTTGAAAGAACAAATCACCTGACAGTTACTTAGGTCCAAATTGATTTTTTGGGACTAGGTCCAAATTGTTTCCATGGAAATCAGGAAAAATAAAAATGCCAAAAATCTGCAAATAGCAAAGGCACCACTTTAGGTTTTGTTTGATATATCTACCAAGTCTTGCAGAAAGATATTGAACGGTATCCGAGTTGTGCTCCGGAAACAAAGCTCACCCATCTCTTTTGAGACTATGTCCGAAACGTTTCCATGGAAACCAAGAAAAATAAAAATGCCAAAAATCTGTAAATAGCAAAAGGCACCATGTTGGGATCTGCCTCGCATATCTGCCAAGTTTTTGAGTTGTGCTCCGGAAACGAAGCTCACCCATCCCTCTTGATATTAAGTCTGAATCGTTTCCATGGAAACCGGGAAAAATAAAAATGCCAAAAATCTGCAAACAGGAAAAGGCACCACTTTAGCTTATGTCTGATATATCTACCAAGTCTTGAAGAAAGATATTAATCGGTTTTCGAGTTATGCTTCGGAAACGAAGGTCACTCCTCCTTTTTAGATTAAGTTCAACTCGTTTCCATGGAAACCACGAAAAATAAAAATGCCAAAAATCTGGAAACAGCAAAAGGCGCCACTTCAAGAACTGTCTCATATATCTGCCAAGTTCTGTTGAAACCTATTGAACGGTTTTCGAGTTGTGCTCCGGAAACGAAGTCCATCCCTCTGTTTTGAGGCTAAGTCCAAAACATTTCCATGGAAACCAAGAAAAATATAAATGCCAAAAATATGCAAATAACAAAAGGCACCACTTTAGGTTCTGTTTGATATATCTACCATGTTTTGTTGAAAAATATTGATTGTTTTTTTAGTTATGCTCCGGAAACAAAATGATGACAGACGGACGGTCCGACAGACAAGGACTGGACTATATCCCCCGCATTACATGCCGGGGGTATAATAATCGAGTCTGGACAAAACAATCCAATGGCAAACCCGGGTATGTCCAGATTGAAACTAAGTCTTTGTAATTCACTATCATCAATTAATTACACATAGCACTAGCTGGTGTGCAGGAGTTTACAAGCTGAACATTCCTTTAGCCCATTAAAGGGGAAGTGTACACGAATAAATCACATTTATTCTTATGTGAATCAAAGTGAACTGTTTTAATTAGTTAATACCAATGTTTGAATATATACACTCATTTTTCTTACAATGTAAGTATAACCCTCAAAATAAGTGCTGAAATGTTATGCCAATATGAGGTATTTGTTTGCCGAGCTAAACAGGCCAGAGTTACCGCCCTTTGATTATGACGTAATTGGTGCCACTTGATTTTAAACTGGTCTCCTGTCTAGTCCCAAGTCAAAAGATAATACTACTGATATTAATCACGTGAAAAAAGTTTGTGAAAATACGAAGAAGCATAAGAACAGAAAATGTAAGCAGCAGGACGGATTGATCGTGTGTATTTTCATTCATAACCTCGCCTCAATGAAAATACCAAATATGTATAACAATGTTGACGTCTGTATGACATCACTATCGGGAAGCGACTTTTTCAAAATGTCGTGTTTACTGACACGAGTACGCCGGAGTTTTCGAAGGAAATTTTCGTTGTTTCAAGCAATGTATATGCATAAATGTGACATGTATGTAGTCCGAAAATTCTGTCAGTCTGCTGGTTGTTATTTTCTTTTTGTTTTCATTGTGACCAAGGGAAATAGTCAGAAATTAAGAGAAGTTGTGCGTGAGTTTGTGTCTGTTATGGCGTCATGCTTTCAAAAACTATTGTATGTTGTGACGAATCTAGAAAATAAAACACCTGTTTTATTTAACTATTGCTTGCTACGATACCTTTCCCATGCATGTTCTAAAACTAATGAGTAATTGTGTGCAGCAAGTAGGCAAACGGATACACAGTGTAAAATCTGAGATTGGCTTTGTATACATTTCAAACAAGTATTCTTTCACAGCGCGGCATCTTATATCCTCCATATATTTCGTTAGATTTCACTGAAACACTTCGTATTGGTGACAGAGTCCATTTGTCAGTTTATTTTGAACTGTATGAGGAATTCAGGGATTCATGTAAGGAAGATGGTGTTGAATTTCTACAATTGATTTTATGGACGAAACATAACCGACATACACGTGACGTGATTTTATAAACACTATGTAATATAGCTGAAAATTCACTTTGACGTTTGCGTATTTTCCAAAATATTCTCAGCGATTCTCGGTTCATCGATAATGTTTCAGAACGAGCATTGGTGATTCGATCATACAACAACAAAACTACCGCTGATCACAATGATCACGTCTTTTTCTTTTAAATTCAATTCTCCCAGTAAAATTTGACATTTGGATTAAGACATACCATAAATCACGCAAAACGCAGTGAATGGTGATTTAGTAATGCGTCAAAACTGGCGAGATTTACGATGCATGTAATTTTCAGTACATTTTATGCATAATGAGCGGATGATATCATAGAAAACGAATTTCAAACAGTGTTCAAAACTACAAATTGCATTTATCTGCGTGATGTATTTGGATATGTACTACCGATATCAAAGTGAAGGTGGAAGAGGAGGGACATATCGTACGATTTACGTAAGAACTTTAGTAACAAACGTAGAATGCCGGCACATTCACCGATGGCAAGCTAGATGTAGTGCATATACGTTTTCATGAAAAAAGACACTGTTGGAAAGGCGACCGACTCAGGTTAAATATGTTTTACAATTTGGTTACATGGTAACACTTTTAGTACAATGTACATGTTTACGTTTTTTCAAACAGCAACATCATTACAGTGTAGAACTGACCACATAGTCAGCTGTCGGCCAAGCAACAGGTGGATTAAAACAGTAGCCTGCGCATCGAGACACAAGAACCACACCTTTACCTGCACCACGTGAAATAGGTCTAATAAGGTCTGACGACGTCATTCGTTTATCGTTTGGGCACCAATGACGTCATTTCCAAGGGACATAAGCCATGGTGTGTTTATTGTGGACAAAGAACTCTTGGTAAATATTGAAAATATGAATTGATATAATGCAAATAATAAATTAGTTATTTCTGATATATGTACGGGTTTGGATATAAAACAACTTGATAAACACTTTTTATGATGAAAAAGTGCAAGACAAAAAGGTTAATTTTCGTGTACACTTGCCCTTTAAACTCCCTTACACACCACCTACCGGAGACATTGTATGTCACTATTATAAGCCATGGAGTCTGGACCAAACAATCCAGTGACAACCCGGTTATGTCAAGATTGAAACTAAGTCTTTGTAATTCACTATCATCAATTAATTACACATAGCACTAGCTGGTGTGCAGGATTTTACAAGCTGAACATCCTTTAGCCCATTAAACTCCCTTACATGCCACCTACCAGAGACATTGTACGTCACTATTATAAGCCATAAGGATAACTCTAGCTGGAAGAGTAGCTCTTGTCCATAACGCTCCAAAATCAAACAAAGTCGCATGCTACTCAGAACAAACGTTACCTACCCATCAGGGTTCCTCTCGACAGATGAAACGTCTGATTCTGATGGCGTTGACTCCTGATCAGAACTCTGTGTTCCTTCAGCTTGTTCGACTGCTGCAATGAGTGAGTAAGCGAGGGAGGTGAGGTGAAATGTGGTTCAATGACTGTGTGAGTAAGCGAGGGAGGTGAGGTGAAATTGGGTTTAACATCGCGCAGGAGAATATTTCGCTCATATGACGACTTGCATGCGAGTGTATGTGTAGGTGCGGCTGCTTGTACTAGCCCAGATTTAAGCTGGTTTTATAGTGCTAGCCCACTGAGACACCATGCCGCAGTGAAGCATGAATACCCCACTCAGGCACATTATACTGACTCCAAGCCGACCAGTCCTTGTTGTACCCATTAATGACGAACGCCAGGCAGGGACCAACAAGTACCATATTTTAATGTCTTTTGGTATGACGCGGTCAGGGATCGAACCCACGACCTTCCGCTCTCTGGGCGGACGCTAGTGAGGTGTGGTGAAATTGGGTTTAACGTCGTGCTTGAGAATATTTTGCTCATATGACGACGTGTATGTGTGTGTATGTGTATGTGCGACTGCTTGTACTAGCCCAGACTGAAGCTGGTTTTATAGTGCTAGCCCACTGAGATACCAGGCCGCAGTGAAGCATGAATACCCCACTCAGACACATTATACTGACTCCAAGCCGACCAGTCCTTGTTGTACCCATTAATGCCGAGCGCCAGACAGGGACCAACGATTACCATATTTTAATGTCTTTTGGTATGACGTGGTCGGGCATCGAACCCACGACCTTCCGCTCTCTGGGCGGACACTCTAACCACTACACCACGGAGGCTAGTGAGGGAGTGAGTGAGTATGGTTTTACGATGGTTTTACGACGCTTTGAGCAATATTCCAGCAATACCACGGCGGGGGGACACCAGAAATGGGCTTCACACATTGTGCCCATGTGAGGAATCGAACCCAGGTCTTCGCGTGACGAGCTAACGCTTTAATCAATAGGCTACCCCTCCGCCCCCTGCTGCAATGAAATGATCCATATGAATTTCAACCAAATTACTTCCATTGCTTATTTAGTGTGAAAAAAAGAAAAGTAGTAAACTGAAATTTCATCCCTAGAGCGAAGCATACAATATTATTTTCAGTTTTACAGGAAATAATTTTAAGCTTGATGTGACAATAAATAAAACACCTTCAAAAGAATCACACCTTTGAGTTTTAAGAAATTAAAAATCCACCACTAAAGGACTTACGTTTCCTTTCTTTTGTCCATGGTAGGTTGGTCACCTTTGTGAGGGCACAGATGAAGAAGCCCCCTGTGTTCTGATGATGTGGCAACACACGCATACTGCAACAATACAAACACATACCATAGATACCACCCTGGAACTGTGTAGTCTAGAAGGGGAAGAATACTTTCGAGGTTTTTCACAGAAGTTGGGTGGTTGGTTTGTTGTTTGTTGTTTACCGCTGCACTCCAGCTATATGGCTGTGTGGTCTGTAAACAATTGGGATATGTTGACGAATGTCAACCGAGTCAGCGAACCTGACCTCCAAATCCCGTTTATCACCCCTTACAACAAGCACGGGTTCCTGAAGATCAATTCTATCATTTCTAACCCACATCTTCATGAGTCCTTTTCACAGAAGTGAAACTGTAAGTAAACAAGTCCAGGTCGTAGTGATAAATGATTATAAAACCAATGTCACCTGTTTAGCTTCTGTCATGCATCGATCAAGTGTGGTGTGCCCAGCTTCGGACTGTAACCTCCAGCACAATGTAGTATTACTATGGTGATGATAAACTGATAACCACCATGTTGATATATTGTATTCAATCTTAAACATCTTCTTAGGTCAGCAGATTCGCAAATCAAAATTTGTTAGACCTAAAGTTTTAACTCCACTATAAGCACAGTGCATACACCAGATACTGTGCTCAATGATACCTTAATGTTACATGCACCCCACAGCTTCAGGTCACAGGGTATCTTCAGTGATCAGTTCAGAAGACCATCGTTATATGTTTCACCATGAGCTACACGTTACATATAGTGGTGGTCCAATTAATTGAACTGACTAACTGACTGAGTTTAGTTTTACGCCGCTTTTAGCAATATTCCAGCAATATCACGGCGGGGGACACCAGAAATGGGCTTAACACATTGTGCCCATGTGGGGAATCGAACCCGGGCCTTCGGCGTGACGAGCCAACGCTTTAACCACTAGGCTACCCCACTGCCCCCCAATTAATTTAAATAATCAAAGATTGGTCGCAATGACAAAACGTCGAAGCAATCAATCATGTTTTCTCATAATCGAACACAAACAATTTGGAACACTTGTTTGCAATAACAATATTTTTCAAAAGTTTGATTTTGTCTCTACATTGCATAAGCACTACAAGCTTGTTCCAAGTCATGATTAAATTTATCTCAACAACTCCAGGAAATGTATGTTCCTAACACACTAGTCATCCTTTAAAGATGTGGAATTTGCAATTGCATTTTGTGCAATTTTCGCGAAAAAACATAGAACTACATGTTTTTTCTTTATATTTTGTGCATTAACAAACATAACCAGGAAAATTTGATAAGTGACGCTAACCAATGATTTACATATTTACACCAATTCCCAACACTAGTTACATAATACTCCAAAAACAATGTGTGTCATGAAGAGTGAGTGAGTGAGCGAGCGAGGTTTTACACCACCTTCAGCAATTTTCCAGCAGTATCATGCAAAGGGCACCAGGAATGGGCTTCACACATTGTACCTATGTGGGGAATCATACCCGGGTCTTTGGAATGACGAGAGAACGCTTTAACCACTAGGCTACCCCACTGCCCCGTATTATGCAGAATAATGAGTGGAAGTGCTTTGACATCATTACCCGCAAACTTGTCATTACATGAAAGCATACTAACAATACGTTTTCACTATTAGATTGGATCTAATATATTTAATAAGGTTTTGTGAAATTATCATTTGAAATGAGTCACAAATATTTTTCAGACAGGCAAATAATTCAGCAATATGTCAAGAACCTCCACTGAATTATTGCAAAATTATTATACATCAGCCCATGAGATCTTTGTAAATTGATCCACTCATAGCTGGGATTTTGTCTTTAACTTATCTCTGATGTCATCTTACGCTACAATGTCTCATAGCAACTTCTTACTTAAACATCAGGGAATTGAAAATAGTTGAGTCTGTAGAAATTAGTCACTGAAAGCATGTACAATGATCTGCACCATTGGAGCAGAATGACAGCTCAGTCACAAAACTGAGCTGATCCAGTTTAGTCAAGTCTTACAACAAGTAGGGGTGGGTATTGCAAAGAATTTTCATATTGCGATATATTGCGATGCGGAAGCATATATTGCGATATGTATTGCAATATATTGCAAGGATTATTTTTTTAACAAAAACTACTTATAATCGAGTTAATGCTTGATTATAAAGCAAAAACACAACAAAATCACTATGATTGATTAACCTTTTATAAAAATTTAATCATGACAAAATAAAAATGTAAGTAACATTTGGCACTAATGAAACAGGGAAAAGAACAATTACAAAAACGGAAATATCCGAAGATTTTCGAGTGTTACGAAGTTTTCTGAATGCATGTCAAAATACCGGTTTTCGATCAGCGTATCGCAATAAATATCGTTTTCATGTCTGAACCGGTAAATACTGGTAAACCGGTTATATTGCGCAGCCCTAACAACAAGCATTGTTATAAGGATAATGTGCTTCAAGATGACATTTCACTTGATCAGACACATTACGACAAGGTAGGTTTCCACCAGTTCCAAATAAACATGCTAACAGTACACTATTATGAAATACATGTTTTTGTATTCTATGTATGCAAGATTGGATACATCGCAAACCAACACAAAGGCTTCAAGGACACATACCATCTGTTCAGATTCATCCATGCAACTTCCTCATCTGATGGGGGAAACATGGTGGGGCGGAATGTGCCGAACCACTTCTTTGGGACATTCTCAAACACATCAAACCACTCTCCTTCCATCGACATCAACTGAAATGTAGGATACATTGTCATTCAGATATTGGAAAGTTTTCAATGCAGCAGAACAGGTAAAAAGGCATCAGGAAGAATTTTGCTAAACACCATAGTAAACAATATTGCCAGTTAAGAATCCAACACAAAAATATTTACACAAAACAAATACTACACAATGAGTGAGTGAGTGAGTGAGTGAGTGAGTGAGTCTAGTTTTACGTCACACTTAGCAATATTCCAGCTATATGGCGGCGGTCTGTAAATAATCGAGTCTGGACCAAACAATACAGTGATCAACAGCATGAGCATTGATCTGCGCAACTGGGAACCGATGACATGTGTCAATCAAGTCAGCGAGCCTGACCACCCGATCCCGTAAGTCGCCTCTTACGACAAGCATGGGTTACTGAAGGTTCATTCTAACCCGGACCTTCACGTGTAAATACTACACAAAATGCTCATGGTTATCCTTTGTTTATATTCTGTGGAAAGAGCGTTGTCCATGATATGCAGTAACAGCATAATCTGCTGTCTCGTACATACCCTGGGAAGGTATTCCAAAGCACAGTGCATGCACCAGGTACTGTCCCCAGTAAGTGAGTGAGTAAGCGAGTGAGGAGGGTTTTAAGCCGCTTTTAGCAATATTCCAGCAATAACACAAGGACACCAGAAATGGGCTTCACACACTGTACCCACGTGGTGGGGGAATCAAACACTTAAACCATTAGGCTACCCCACCAACCCCTGCGCTCAATAATATCTTAATGTTACAGGCACCCAACAGCTACAGATCGCAGGATATCTTCAGTGATTAGTCAAGAAGACCATCATGATATTTTTCATCATGAGCTACAGGTTTAGCATTCCAATAACACACATAATCTGCCGTGCAGTACATACCCTCCACTTGGACAGCCCAGGCACAAACTTGAGGCCAGGGAGACTCTCACTGATGTCCACCAGCTCCACCGAGCCTGAAATACAAGGTCATTCTATACCAGGTCATGGGTAGACACAGCAAATTCACAAACATCAGATTTCTGGTCACAACAAGTGTTTGCCACTGATATGGCAATGTCCCCCGCCGCTAAAGAATCAATGGAATATCTACATTAACTATTTTGTATTTTTTTTGGTCACACACACAATGCCTGAAATGACTGGTGTCTGCATAATCACCCAATGTAGGCTGTCAACATAATTGAAAACATTGTGTGCAATGTTTTATGAGATATCTCATTTAAATAAGTTTGAAATGTGGTCAAAGTGTTGTGGTGACCTTGAAGATAAGGTCAAGGTCACGCAAATCGACTGGTGTCTGCGTAATCCCCCAATGTAGGCTGACACCAAATTTGAAGACATTGGGTACAACAGTTCATGAGATATCGCGTTAACAAGAGTTAGAAAAGTGGTCAAAGTGTCGTGGTGACCTTGAAAATAAGGTCAAGGTCACGCAAATCGACTAGTGTCTGCGTAATCCCCCAATGTAGGCTGACACCAAATTTGAAGACATTGGGTACAACAGTTCATGAGATATCGCGTTAACAAGAATGGGGACGTACGGACGGACGGACGCTGCTGAATACATAGTCCCCCGTTCCGCGCTGCGGCGGGGGACAACTATCAACTTGAAACAGATTCAAATTGTGTATGTAATAAACACCTCCACGTAGGCCTGTGACAGGTAGATCTGTTCAATTTGCACTTGAGAAGCTTGTCCTAAACAATGACATGCATGGTACTGTTTGTTTGTTGTTTAACGCTGCACTCAGCAATATTCCAGCTTTATGACATTCCAGTGATCAACAGCATGAGGGCAGATCTACACAACTGGGATATGATGACATGTGTCAACCAAGTAAGCGAGCCTGAACACCAAATCCAGTTAGTCGCCTCTTACGACAAGCATGGGTTACTGAAGGCCAATTCTAAGCCAGATCTTGATGGGTTGGCACCGTAGAGCAACACTACGATCAACACATGTATTGAATACTCCTAAGGATTATCAACACTGTGCTATTGCTGGCGTCATGTTGATCTTTACCTTTACACTGTCTGAGCATTTCCGCCACAACTGCCTCATCTTCGATAGGGTTGAAAGAGCATGTGGAATAAACCAGGCGACCGCCTTCATTCAACAACTCCAGACCTCGCTTCAGTATCTTAACCTGCAAGCTGAGACAAACATATATAAAAATTTGTTGAACAAGAATACCAAGTCAAATTTGTCAATCAAAACATGTTAAATAGTCAACACAAATATCATCGTCACTAAAAGAAAATATTAGTCAACATACTGTGGAGACAGACTAAGGATAACACAATCCAATTTTGTTAGAGATTTTGATTATTTACACATAAACAAAAACTAATTTTCATCAAGTGTATATTTAAACAGAATGACAAATCCAATTATCCCTTTGACAAAAATCCTGTAACAATGTTTCATATATTATTTCATTTATTACTGTCCACATGGCAATAAACTTACAAATGAAGGTTCGGTCCATTTATCGGCTTCCACTTGCCCCATACATCTGGATTTTTCCTCATCGTGCCATCACCCCTACAAGCAGAAAGAAACCCTGAAAAATCACCAGGATGGTGCCGGCCATGTTCACTGGATGTTAGCATGTACTGGGGAGACAGGCCTGGGGCACTGTGGGAGACAGGCATGGGGTACTGGGGGACAAGCATGGGGTACTGGGGAGACAGGCATGGGGTACTGGGGGAGACAGGCATGGGGTACTGGGGACAAGCATGGGGTACTGGGGAGACGGGCATGGGGTACTGGGGAGGCGGGCATGGGGTACTGGGGGAGGCGGGCATGGGGTACTGGGGAGACAGGCATGGGGTACTGGGGACAAGCATGGGGTACTGGGGGACAAGCACGGGTACTGGGGAGACAGGCATTGGTACTGGGGACAGGCATGGGGTACTGGGAGACAGGCATGGGGTACTGGGGGGACAAGCACGGGGTACTGGGGGGACAGGCTTGGGGTACTGGGGAGACAGGCTTGGGGTACTGGGGAGACAGGCCTGGGGCACTGGGGAGACAGGCCTGTGGTACTGGGGAGACAGGCATGTTGTACTTGGGAGGTAGGCCTGGGGTACTGGGGAGACAATAGTGGGGTACTGATCTGACATCTTGTTCATACTCACGTGCATGGGACATCAGCCAAAATTCGATCAAAATACAAAAAATCTGGTTTTTCATCCTGAAAGAAAATATTCAAAAATTCAAATCCCAATAAATTTCAGCCAGCGAGGAATGCAGATTGCAGTGGTTTACTACAAATTCATGTCAAACAAGAAGACATGGTCATCAATATCCCAGTGTTCTGTTCCTATTTGGTTCTTGTTTTTAACTCCACCACAACATTCATGTCCTGAAAACACATACCACATTTAGTTTCCCTATCTATAACAGTTACTGAAGAAAATCTGTTCCCTTTGGGGATACCGTGCACTAAGTCCAGAAATGCATGACAAGGGCCATAACTCTGTAACAAATTGTAACACAGTTTCAGTTTTCAGACTCCATCAAGGCATCATATCCTGAAAACATATCAAACTTGGTTGAACGGACGGACAGAGCTCAAACCAATATTCCCCTCCCACTTCATGGCAGGGGATAATAGAGCATGGTGTAAATGAATGTCAGTATATTAACTACACAGATGATTACTCATATCAAAGGCAGGAAGAGAAAACAATGATCTCCCGGCAGCTTATCTGACTGACCAATGTCGCCACATGGGTTGTCTACAGGAGTCCTTATTACAAATAATGACCTCACCCAGAAGATTACTTTTATAACGATACTATTAGCAAGGGGCCATTGAAGCCAGAACTAACCAACTTCACAGAGCCGTGAAGAATCAGACAGTAGTTCCAGGTGATTAAGGACAGAGAGGAAGTGAGCGAGTTGGGTTTTAAACCGATTTTAGCAAAATCCCAGCAATATCACGGCGGGAGACACCAGAAATGGGCTTAAAGACAGAGAGGAAGTGGAGGTACCTGTGGAGTGATTCTGATCTTGGGGAAGATTGTGGCGTCCTGGTTGACAATCATGAAGTTGGGACTCTGCAGTCTCTTCACTTGGTGGACCATCAGATAACAACGCTTGTTGTCCTTGTCGTTGGCTATTACAAAGCCCTCTGGGAAGAAATAAAAATCTTCACTTGAATAATCATAATCATGATAATAATGACTTTGAGACGCGTGACTCTGTACACTTCTAGTATGCCTTGTGAGAAGTTCGATCAGATCAGGTGACTGCAGTGTATGGGCTTGCGCCGTCATGGTGTAATCTGAATCTCTAAAAATTCTAATCTTAAAAACAAACAAGAGTCATCAGAAGATGACATATCCCCGCCCCCACATCTTTGAAAGAACAAATCATCTGATAGTTACTTAAAGTCCAGCTTGATTTTAGAATAAGTGCAAATCGTTCCATGGAAATCATGAAAAAAATAAATGACAAAAATCTGCAAATAGCAAAGGCACCACTTCAAGATCTGCCTCATATATCTGCCAAGTTTTACTGAAAGATATTAAGAAGTTTTTGAGTTGTGCTCCGGAAACGAAACCTACCCCGCCCTTTTGAGACTAAGTCTGAATCGTTTCCATGGAAACCAAGAAAAATAAAAATGACAAAAATCTGCAAATAGCAAAAGGCACCACTTTAAAATCTGCCTCACATATCTGCCAAGTTTTGCTGAAAAATATTAAGAAGTTTTTGAGTTGTGCTCTGGAAACGAAACCCACCCCTCCTTTTGGGACTAATTCCGAATCGTTTCCATGGAAACCGGGAAAAATGAAAATGCCTAAAATCTGCAAATAGCAAAAGGCACCACTTAAGGTTCTGTTTGATATATCTACCAAGTCTTGTTGAAAAATATTGAATGGTTCTTGAGTTATGCTCCGGAAACTAAGCCCACCCCTCACTTTTGGGACTAAGTCCAAATCGTTTCCATGAAAACCGGGAAAAATAAAAATGCCAAAAATCTGCAAATAGCAAAAGGCACCACTTCAGGTTCTGTTTGATATATCTACCAAGTCTTGTTGAGACTATGGAACGTTTTTTTAGTTATACTCCGGAAACGAAGCCCACCCTTCTTTAAGACTTAGTCCAAAACGTTTCCATGGAAACCGAGAAAAATAAAAATGACAATAATCTGTAAATAGCAAAAGACACCACCTTACGTTATGTTTGACATATCTACCAATGTTTGTTGAAAAATATCGAACGGTCTTTGAGTTATGCTCAGGAAACAAAATGATTACGGACGGACGGACAGACGGACGAGGCGACGACTATATCCCACCGCATTACATGCCGGTGGGATAAAAAAGTAGCAACAAGAAAAAGATAAGATTATTTTTATACTGACCTAATGCAAAAAGTGCAAAAGGTGAAATACTCAATGCATATTCCAACCCCAATTTTCAAAAAGCAAAAAGAAAACCTTTTGCTTCTTCTGACCTGAGCAGATCCACTTTATATATTTACCCTGTGTAAATGACAATCATTCCTGAAATTATGGCAATATATTGAGTAACTCATGTCAAATAAGAAAATGGCTATTGGTATAGTCTATGACAACATGTGAGAAGGTTATCAATCAGCATCATAATGCAGATATAGGTTAATTCAAAAATTACATCTTGAAAAATTGAAATCAGTTGCATTGACTGCTTAAAACACAGACAGAAAGACCAAACTTTATAGGGGGACTATATGATTTATAACTATCATCATGATTATCATAACTGCATGTACAAATAAAGTTACTGTTGACGTAACAAAAAATCAATCCCTGTTGAAGGTAAATATTTAATTGTAATTCAATTAACCTTCCATTGAATTTAGTTGGGAAGTAAGACCAAAGCCTGCCATCACAATGTCTCTACACATGAGGCTCACACACCTGGGATAGGATTGTCCTCATCCTCAACAGAATGGAGATAGTCGATCAGCTGAGCCGTCTTCGATCCTGGAGCAGCACACATGTCCAGAATCTAAGGGCACGAAAAATAGAAACTCACAATCTGTACACAGGCACCTTAGGTGACGACTTAAAACCAGAAAAGGCCAGACAAAATACTGTTTGGATTTACCAGTGGTTTCTGTCAAATTTTCAGTTAACTTTCACAATCACATGCAAGCATACATATGTGCACCACTTTTACAGTGGTTGCCCACTGAGATACCATGCCCCAGTTGTGAGTTAAAAACACATCGGCAATATTGCAGCCATATCGTGACGAGGATTTGAATAATGAATAAAGTTGGAATAATATAGTCAAATTATAAAACACTGTCAATGAAGGACAGTAAAATAACTACAGGATCACAGGTATAGATATAAAACTGGTATGAAAATCTATTACAATATTGCCCCAGTTGTAACATGGATACCTCAGTCAGACACCGCTCACCAGTTAGCCATCCTGACTCATCGCCATGCAGGGTAACAACAGGGACTTTAGGTACGAGCGAGTTAGCAATATTCCAGTAATATCACAGTTGGGGACACCAGAAAAAGGTTTTAGACATTGTACCCAATGTGGGGAATTGAACACAGGGCCCCGTTTCACAAAGCTCTCGTAAGCCTAAGATCTCGTAACTTTTCTTGTGGCATTCGTACTCCTATACTGTAACAAAGACTTACGACAGTCGTAGCGCTACGAGAAATTTGTGAAACGGGGCCCAGTTTTGGCATGACGAGCAGACCACTAGGTTATCCCATCTTCCTGTCTTTTGGTCTGACTGTCAGGGATCAGTCTACAGACCTCTTACTCTCCTGGCAGTCTCTCTACCCATCAAACCACAGTGATTGCATTTTTTCATATTAATGTTATATGACTAGTGTGTGCAGTTTGTTGAGACATGAAGTGATGTTTACCTTATGGTGTGGCTTAATGTCCATCAGTAGTGGAGGAATCATGCTGACAGCTTCCTGACGGCTGATGTTACCCTACAGCACACCGAGACAACAAACATCAGCGTGGCCATGGAAACAGTGGTCTCACATAAACATACCACCAAGACCTTCACTATACAGGTTCATAACAATAATAATAAATAGTAATAGTAAATAATCATAATTTCAGTGTGGTGGACATGGTAACCATGTTTTAAAATCAGAAGAGAATTATATGAGCACTTAAGATGATACTTGGGGTTCATGTATACAGAGTTCAACTTACATAACATGCCACGATATTAGATCAGTTGATTTGGGAGACAATTTCATTGCCAATGAAACACACACATGGATATTAGACTGATACATCAAAAAACTTCATAGCACACAGTTAACAAGGAATGAGAATAGTTCAACATCAGCCTGATGCTAATACTAGCTACTATCATGAATACTCTCACTTTTCGGAAATGTTATCTTTATTGCTTAACATGGCAGTTGTGATATATGCAAAGAAGAGGTCGGTGACCGAATTATCTCACACTCTCTGTCTCAGCAATAAGGAACTCATGCAGTTTCTGCATAACGTTGCTACTACGTATGTATTTGCGACTCATGTCGATGTGCCAAGCCATCTCCTCTGGGTACCTGGAAGAGACACAGGGGAGGTAACTCAGTGCTATACAGGAGTTACAGGTAACAAAGTAAATCTACAATTTATGCAGATCACTTAATCTGTATACAGGCATATACCATCACCTTACTGTCCGTTCAAAATGTCTAATCAATCACATCTTGAGAAGTATAGAAATAAATTCTCAAATATCAAATATGTCCAAAAGATGCTTTAAAATTAAATACTCACAAGCACCCTAATTATTGGAACAGTTACATAGAGAATCTCACCCAAGTGTCTACTGATATCAATTATATTAACACGAGTTGATAAGTTACAAATATCCGAGGCTTGCCGAGGATATTTTTACTTTTATCAACGAGTGTTGATATAATTGATATCAGTAGACACGAGGGTGAGATTCTATTTATCATCGGTAATCATTCTTCATTAGTTTTCAATAATAAATGTACATCTCTGAACACGGTTCTACCATTAGACTTAAAGTGCAGCAATGTCATAGCATTATGACATCATCAAGTTCATGATGTCATAGCATTGTCAGGGCATTGTACAAAATCTACTGTCAAAACGGTATCTCCTAGGAATAATATCATTTGATCTCACACAAGCAATATCTCATGTGGAACACAGTTTTGGATGATAAATCAAAATACTCACCATGGTAGATTCTTGGGGGGTTCGATTTTAATATCACCCTCTAAGGTCTGGTTGACGAGATTGCTAAAGTACTGTCCTTTAATCACCCGGAGGAGTTCTCCGGCTTGCCTGGAATAAGCAACATGGTAGCCAATCACAGCCCAGTCTGTCTAGCAACACAGGCCAATCACATTGATTAACACTGCATGATTGCATGTCACCTGGCAGTGTCTGAGAAGTCCTCAAACAGATGTCGTCTACATAATATGGCAATTATTACTGCAGGCAGTCCAGTAATTGTTCACTTCTCCAATCAGAGGTGAGCTGTATTACCAGTGTACAAGTATATCGGTATACTATAAATCCTATTAACAATTAATGTGAACCCCAATCTGTTCTAAAACTGTCTACTGTGTTTCTCAAAATCATGCATATTGTTATGTTGTTCGCAAGAGTTTACACAAGAGACAAGTCAAATCTAATTTATGAAACTGAGAAATTAACAACTGATTCAAGTTGTCAAATATTTTTTTTTTTATTGACACCTCATGTTATTATGCATGTGACCACAGCAACATCCAATAAAAAGGCAGACAACTGTGTTATTATGGCACAATTAATACTTACTTTCGGGATCCTGTGATACGAAAAGTGACTGGGAGGTCTGTTTTTAGAATTTCTTCAAATGTCTCCCATTCTCCTTCAGGGACTATTTTCTGTTCCTGTAACCATGGTAACACTAATGATTAGCCCATACTGCAGAAATACTATGAAATGGTTATTTTAAACAAATTAAACCTTGATACACACAAATGTTGATTGTTCAATCAAGTCAGTATGCCCTGCACCAAATGCAGCAGGGCATATCATGGGATCACTGAAATAATTGAACAATTAAGTCAAATCATAAACAATTTGCAATCAATCTGTGACAACTACAAGTTTCAAGGTATAATAATAATACATCTTCTATAGCGCACAGTTTCCAAACACCAAGTGATTGCTCGCGGCTCTTAATCAGAATCTGCTTCTTATTACCCCGGATAACCCAAACTGCCTCTTGAGGGCTAGAAGGTTATAGTCACATGACTTTATCCCACCAGGTACCAATTTTCTGCTGGGTGAACAGAGGCAATTTTGAATTAACTCACTTGCCTGAGGTGAGACCACATGTACAACTGTTTACTTTCTTTAGGGATACTAAACTTATGTGAAAGTCAATGTCTGTGCAAACATCACATAATACTATGATGTTTTGTGTAAAAATGGTAGGAAAAGAGTTTTAGAATGGTATATTTTCAGGGACGCTGATCTGATCATCATTCAAAATGTCCTAAAAATCACTTCGTCAATATGTCATATTTGACTTAACACTTATAAGAATTAAGAAATATGGTTCACTCTACCACCATGTATAGTGTAATAAAGCACACTTTCGCCCTGAACTATTATAATGTTAAAGGTCACATAAACCCTAGGGGGTAAAAATACATAAATCACTAACTGGCATCGTTATAAATGAAATCCCGTCATTAAAACTACTCATTTCGACCTTTAATTGACTTAAATCGACCTTTTTGACAACAGTGCACAATTCTCACCACGAACGAAATTTCAACCAATCAGAGCGGCGCGACTCTGTGACGTCATATGAGGAATAGCTTTGAGGGCCAATGCAGAATTCATCTACATTTTAGGGGTAAATTATCTTGTTTACAGGCTTGTATAAACCTGAAATCGTGACAATTGTTGTGGAAAATGAAAGCTATATGTTCTCACAATCTACTGGCATTTAATTTTGTCTCCTGCTTTGCCTAGTTTCTGAGTTACAACTTGTTTTCATAGACGCGCTTCTGTCACAATTGATTGGTGTCGTTAGGCCCTATTTGTATAATGACTGATCCAAATTGATCCCATTTCTGTGTTTTTTACCTCGATATTTAATCATGTCATGTAAAATCTGTTTGTATTCTCAAAACAGTGTCGGCCCATAAGTTTTCACATGCAATACAGCAATTAATACTCCCTTGTTGTAACCCGTGTTAGGTGGTATAAACCTACACATGTTATTTGTCATCATTCACTTGATGGTCAGTTAATGAATTTATAACAGGTATAATTAGTGGTAACACACTTAGATTACCCCGACAAAGGTTCCCATTTGGCATTTCTTGTGTCTGGAGTAAATATTCAACATTATAAACATCGATCAAAGGATTAACCGATAACACGCTGATTGATTAATTACTTTTATCTTACACAGCCGGATTTGTCAAAGGTAGTGTTTATGTATGTAGATTTACTAATCTATACTGAATACACTCTGCCGCGGTCGGTGTTCAAGCGTAAAAAACAACGCCCTTCTTTCAAAGGATTAACCGGCAATACATTGATTGATTGCCCATTATTGGCTAACTAAATTACTGTTTTAATGAAAGGCGGACATTATGCAATTAGTTGCCAGGTGTGCTATCTTGGGTGACCAATGAGACTATACACCAATACCTGAAAAGATTTATCACTTTTTCGTGATATTAAACTGTTAAAAGACACATCATTTGGAACAGTTTTGTGGATATTGATGGATACATTCCTCAAACAAGGTAATGGCCTGATATTGTTCCTATAACTTTAATCTGTTTTAATTTTAATATTTGCATTTTGTTTTTATTCATTTGTCGTAGCATTCAACAGAATCATTGTTTTCATGCCAGTGAAGTGTATTGAGACAGACAACATACACTAGGGTGTGTGTGCGAATTATGATTCACATTGGCAAACTATAAAATGTCTAGATATTACAGTTCTGTTATAAATTCACTATAAGTATCAGCAGATCGTCAGCTTTTTATTTAGTTTCAAAATGCATAAAGACTTAAAGTGCAGCAATGTCATAGCATTATGACATCATCAAGTTCATGATGTCATAGCATTGTCAGGGCATTGTACAAAATCTACTGTCAAAAGCGGTATCTCCTAGGAATAATATCATTTGATCTCACACAAGCAATATCTCATGTGGAACACAGTTTTGGATGATAAATCAAAATACTCACCATGGTAGATTCTTGGGGTTCGATTTTAATATCACCCTCTAAGGTCTGGTTGACGAGATTGCTAAAGTACTGTCCTTTAATCACCCGGAGGAGTTCTCCGGCTTGCCTGGAATAAGCAACATGGTAGCCAATCACAGCCCAGTCTGTCTAGCAACACAGGCCAATCACATTGATTAACACTGCATGATTGCATGTCACCTGGCAGTGTCTGAGAAGTCCTCAAACAGATGTCGTCTACATAATATGGCAATTATTACTGCAGGCAGTCCAGTAATTGTTCACTTCTCCAATCAGAGGTGAGCTGTATTACCAGTGTACACGTATATCGGTATACTATAAATCCTATTAACAATTAATGTGAACCCCAATCTGTTCTTAAACTGTCTACTGTGTTTCTCAAAATCATGCATATTGTTATGTTGTTCGCAGAGTTTACACAAGAGACAAGTCAAATCTAATTTATGAAACTGAGAAATTAACAACTGATTCAAGTTGTCAAATAATTTTTTTTTATTGACACCTCATGTTGTTATGCATTCGACCACAGCAACATCCAATAAAATGGCAGACAACTGTGTTATTATGGCACAATTAATACTTACTTTCGGGATCCTGTGATACGAAAAGTGACTGGGAGGTCTGTTTTTAGAATTTCTTCAAATGTCTCCCATTCTCCTTCAGGGACTATTTTCTGTTCCTGTAACCATGGTAACACTAATGATTAGCCCATACTGCAGAAATACTATGAAATGGTTATTTTAAACAAATTATACCTTGATACACACAAATGTTGATTGTTAAATCAAGTCAGTGTGCCCTGCAACAAATGCAGCAGGGCATATCATGGGATCACTGAAATAATTGAACAATTAAGTCAAATCATAAACAATTTGCAATCAATCTGTGACAGCTACAAGTTTCAAGGTATAATAATAATACATCTTCTAAAGCGCACAGTTTCCAAACACCAAGTGATTGCTCGCGGCGCTTAATCAGAATCTGCTTCTTATTACCCTGGATAGCCCAAACTGCCTCTTGAGGGCTAGAAGGTTATAGTCACATGACTTTATCCAACCAGGTACCAATTTTCTGCTGGGTGAACAGAGGCAGTTTTGAATAAACTCACTTGCCTGAGGTGAGACCACATGTACAACTATGTTTACTTTCTTTAGGGATACTAAACTTATGTGAAAGTCAATGTCTGTGCAAACATCACATAATACTATGATGTTTTGGGAAAAAATGGTAGGAAAAGAGTTTTAGAATGGTATATTTTCAGGGACGCTGATCTGATCATCATTCAAAATGTCCTAAAAATCACTTCGTCAATATGTCATATTTGTCTTCTTTTGCACTGACTTAACACTTATAAGAATTAAGAAATATGGTTCACTCTACCACCATGTATAGTGTAATAAAGCACACTTTCGCCCTGAACTATTATAATGTTAAACCACGAAGACACTTGCGTCCGAGTGCTTTAACATTATAATAGTTCAGGACGTAAAAGTGCTTTATTACACTATACATGGTGGTAGAGCCAGGGGTTCAAAATTATTTTAAAAAGCCACTTGCCACAGGGCAAGTGACTTTAAGAAAGTAACTTGTCCTGACTAATTTTCCACTTGCCCTGATTTTATGACATAATTATGATGATGTAATTATGAAAGAAGAAATCAACATGATATTTGATGTTAATGTTTACTGGACTATTTATTGAAAAGTGATAAATAGCAAAGAAAGATAACTCTACTTTATTATCATTGCGAAATGTAATAGCTACATTTTGAGCAGACATGAAATTAAATCCAATTAAATCCAAGTTCCATTAGTGGAAATTATCTAGTAGCCCACGGACAAGTAAGATACCATTATTTGATTGCCCGAAATGAAAACTGACCTGTCCCGGGCGTCGGGCGATGGGATTTTTGAACCCCTGTAGAGCGAACTGCATTTGTTTTCTAAGATGCCAAATTTAATACATTCTAAGGATAATTACAATCAATCTAAGGCAGAAAACAAACGACGGTGTCATTGACCTAAATTAAGAATCCTCACACAGGGGCTAACTCTTGCGCTGTTCTATTGATGTGTCTGCCTCCCTAGATTATGACGAACTTAAAATTATTTTGATTACATCTGTGATTAACGTAAAGCATATGGGGCAATAAGAACGTCACATTTCTACTACCAACGTAAGTTTAGTCCAGTACATTCTGAGGCGTGTTCAGAACCGCGAGTGCTCGCATTGGCCCTGAACGGACGCGAGCGATTGGTTACAATAAGCCATTCGTGACCAACTCATGTTGTTCCGAGACAAGCCGAATAGCTTCTTTATTATATTCTTAAGGGTGAAATACTGTAAATATTGGTGAAAATAAAAATGGTATTGTCATTTTCACCTAGTAGAATATCACTTTTGCCTGGAACTATGAAACGCGAACTACGAAATCGATGTCTCGATCATTGTGGGAATGTAAACAATGTGAACGTTACCGTGTCACTGAAAACTGGTGAGTCGAATTGAGACATTTTAACAGTCGTAAAACAAACGTAATGAATCCACCAGTAATAATAGCTGAGTGAAGCAACTGCAAACCAAGAAACTGGATGCAAAGGAGTAGTTTACTGTAGGAGGCTGTACGAGGTGATGACAACTGACATGCATCGTGACGTCGCTTACATTGTGACGTAATGCAAAAATTGTTCGATTACGAGGGGGCAGACTAGACTGACTGAGTTTGGTTTAACGCCGCTTTTAGCAATATTCCAGCAACATCACGGCGGGGGACACCAGAAATGGGCTTCACACATTTTACCCATGTGTGGATTCGAACCCGGGTCTTCGGCGTGACGAGCCAACGCTTTAACCACTAGACTACCCCACCGCCCCGGGCAGACAGGAATGGCGCAGTGACGCCAATACATTGTGACGTAATGCAAAAAGTGCACATTATCGTCTGATAAAATACTGTCTGCGCCTTTGATCTTTCACCGAAGTATATTAGATGGTTCATAATGTTGTCATGTTTGATGTCCAAAACTGCATTTTATCAGTCTTTGTCGTTTACCATGTTTTCTCCTTACTATGATCATGAACTTGAACAAATAATTTAACAGATGTCTTTTCATGACTTTTCAACATTTCTCAGCACTATTATTACTTATGAGGACAAGATCAGGTAAAATTCTGGATGATAGGCAAGTGAATGAGTAAGTTTAGTTTTACTCCACTTTTAGCAATATGGCAGGGGACACCAGAAATAGCCTCCACACATTGTGGCCATGTGGGGAATCGAACCCGGGTCTTCAGTGTGGCTAGCTAATGCTTCATCCACTAGGCTACCCCTGGATGATAGACAAGTAAAATTGTAAAATTCACAATACTGCGCATGCATGCACACTCACACACTCAAAAACACATCATATATATTGCCATTGTCTACCAATAAGTTTCTTTGTGTATGAGTCATGAAGTTGCTTAGGCATGGGTGGATACAGGTTATCCACCATTTGCGTACACATTAGGAACAATACGAAGTAGGGCCTGTCCAGTTATTAGAGCTGCGCAATATAACCGGTTTACCGGTATTTACTGGTTCAGACATGAAAATGATACGTATTGCAATACGCTGATCGAAAACCGGTATTTTGACTTGCATTCGGAAAACTTCGAAACACTCGGAAATCTTCGGACATGTCCTTGTTTCATTTGTGCCAAATATTATTCATATTTTTATTTTATCATGATTAAAAGTTGTTATTAAAGCTTAATCAAGCCTAGTGATTTTGTTGTGTTTTTGCTCTATAAATCAAGAATTAACTCGATTATAAGTAGTTTTTTGTATTAAAATACTTCATGCAATATATTGCAATACATATCGCAATACATGCTTTCGCATCGCAATATATCGCAATATGAAAATTCTCTGCAATACCCACCCCTACCAGTTATGTTCATCAACACACCATAGGTACCACATCCTTACCTTATAGTACTTCACAAAGAGTTCATTCTTCCTTTCTGGCAACTTGTAGTTCCTGTCTTGTGTTCTGTAATCCTACAACAAACATACAAATGCAATGTTTGATCAATCAATTTACTGGGAACGGGCAAACAAACACAACGAGCATCAAGAAATGATCTACTTCAAATCATACTGTAAGAGTGAGAACTGTTCTGCGTGCTAGGATCTGACAGTTTCATCAAGGCAAGCCAGCTTAAAGGGACAGTACGCCGACCGTTACAAAGAATTGTTTATAAGCAACCACCAAAAAAGCCCCTAGCTTACTCAACTCTACCAGAATTCTGCTCTGGTGATCTGACCAAAGGTGTATGCTTATGACTTGACTTTTCCCCTTTATAATCAATAGCACATCAGTGATCAACATCATGATCATCGATCTACGCAGTTGGGATACGATGACATGTGTCAACCACGTCAGCAAGCATGACCACATGATCTTGCTAGTCGCCTCTTACGACAAGCATGGGTTACTGAAGACCACTTCGAACCCGGAACTTCACAGGTGCAACACAGAGGTGCATGACCATACAGATATGTGTATATACAAAGTGATGAACACCTCCATAGGGCCCCCATGACATCAAGTGGTTGGTAAGTGCAATAAACACAATAATTTTTTTGTGTTTTAGGATATTTATAAAAAAAAATGATTTCAGGACATGTTTATCTAAATGTGTTGAATCCTCATAAGCAGGTGAAAAACACCTGAGTAAACAATGTAAGATATCACAGATACATTCAGTGTGATAGTGATTGGTTTCATACAACCAAGGATATTTATACTGCGATCCAGGGATTGATAAACACTGGATTCTAATTTAATCAAGCAGTAAGAAACACGGTGAATCTGTGATTTGTACCCATAATCATTATTTACAAATTACACGTTCCATAGAGAACAAAGGGTTACAACTAATCCCATAGAAATTGTGCACTTTAGTTATCTGTAGAATGTGCTGCCACTTGAAGTTGAACATAGACGTCTTAAATGTGTACGTCAAATGTACCAATGTGCTAATGAGCGTTTCTGTTATGAGCCAACAGGACCCTAAGATTTGTCCCTTCCACACTACACAGTGCACTTAACCGGCTCCTTGACTCTGAACATGCAAGGTATTCTTCAGTTTTTTTATTGAAACTATTGTGAGATGCATACTGCAATAGTCTTCTTTGATGAGCATTCTAGAAGCTGCTTGACAACAACATTAGAATCTGTCGAAACATCACCTTTCACAGAATAAAGAAGTTGTACAGTGAAGCCCCGTTAGTCCGGACTCTGATAATCCGGATGTCTCGGCTCCTGGACGATTTTAGCTTGTTACCAATCTATGCCTATTCAATTTGCCCCGATAATCCGGAAATTCGGTTTCCGGAACCGGACGGTAAGTAGCTGTAACCAATCAGTAAAATAAACAGTAAATTGCTTCACAGTCCGGATGCTGTAAGTCGTGTTCACGAACCATAACAACACCCACCGGCGATGTTTACTTAACTGGCCATAAACAATAAAAACTCAGTGTCATGGAGTTGACAAGATGAACTCTTGTTAACTTTTGAGAAATGTCTATTAAGGGTTGTTGTTTTAGTCAGACATTAAAAGCTCCCGACTGAAGATGCTGTACATTTACACTTTGATTGACACCACAATACAAAGGCGTGGATGACAAATGAGCTGTTTTGTGATTGGTTAATGTACTTTGACAGACAGGTGCGGTCACGTGGACTTAAAGTGATTTTGCTTCTCGACAACGCTGCAAGTCACAAGTGTGCTTCGCTAACTTTGCGAAATGTGACCAAATACCACATCTCATATTCAACTGATGGATGCAGGAATAATTCGGACATTCAAGGCATACTACAATAGATCGCTTGTTAGACATTACCTCACCCGTGCTGAGGAAGGACGTGATCAGACACGTCGGGTCAACATTCGGATGCCACTCGGTAAAATTATTGATGTGATGAATTCGATGAGGAAGGTTAGTCGAACACAAACAACAATGAAAGACTTTTTGCTATGATATTATATGCTTATTTGTTTTATCCAGATTCGTGTCGTTTTGAACTTGGGTCTTGATTCAGTAGTCCGGACGATTTGCAATCCGGACGAATTTGCTGAGAAACGCAACCGTCCGGATTAACGAGGCTTCACTGTATATCCATACAATTATCGAGTTATAGCTAAAACCGCACCACAGCAGAACGGCACCAAATTTGTTTGGCGAAAACGGCTACTGATTTCTGGGCTAAAACGGCACCATATATAAAACAAAGTATAACGTTGACTTATGTTTTATTTCATTTCATTATAACATTAGCAAGATTATATCAACATATAACTTATTCTCAAAATCCGTGCATGTCTATGTTATGTGTTTGTATCCGACAAACTTAAATCAAAATCAAAACAAATTATGGTAACTAACTTATCCCAGATTATTCTACACTTTACAGTAACAAAATTACAATTTCATTTTGACACCGAGTTTGACACTGGGCGATTTCAGTTGAGTAAATGTACTTAAAACATCAAAGGTTGCGATGTTTTCATGCTAAATTGGGATGCCTTTTCCAATCACTGTCAGCACAGTAGATGTATTTACTATCTAAACATTCTGCAATCCAATCATCAGCTATGGGATGCCCACTTCCAATCACTGTCGGCACAGTAGATGTATTTGATTTAAACATTCTTTTTTTCATCAAAGAAACCTGGATAGGCGAACAAACCTAGTGGCTTATATAGACGCCACTCCAGTACATTGTTCCAATAGCTGGATACATAATTGAAATAATTTGACAACAAAAGAAAAAATACTGTGACAAAATAACAGATTTAAATGATTGAATAATAAATATGTTCGATATGGTGTTGGTTATGCCTAGCAACGAAATGAGCAGCAGCAGAAAATCAAGTTATATAAAACTTGCCTTACATTGAATATATACGTAGATTTGATAATTACTGGAAGCGGTTACTTTTAGTAATGACTGGTGTAATGAGTTCAGAATGTCACTATTATAGTCTGTTTGCAGTGAAAACGTACCGATGAATTTTACTCTAAATAAAAAAGTAAATCAATTAAAGCGAAATTAAGATTGCGAATTTTCACAATTTTACCTTGCCAATTGAACATTCAAATCTCAGAATTTTATTCAACTTGGGATAAAAGTTGTTTAACAAATGATCATAGTTTCAAATCGTTATTATTGGTTTGTATTACAAGGGCGTTTGCACATTTGATGAAACACCGAGAACAAGTAGGGCTTGTCTAAGTTAACGCTCATAACGTACCGCACATGCCTTTGTTTCACTGTTCCATCTACTGCGCTTACCCCCTTGTAATACAAACCAATAATAGCCATTTGAATCTATGATCGTTTGTTAGTTGAGTTGAGTTGGGTTTTGCGTCACATCGGCATTATTCCAGCCATATAGTGACGAGAACAAGTTTGCATTAATAAACATTGATCGTTTGTTAAACAACTTTTATCCTAAGTTGAATAAAATTTTGAGATTTAAATGTTCATTTGGCACGGTAAAATCATGAGAATTCGCAAACTTAATTTCTCTTAATTTGATTTACTTTTTTGTTTAAAGTGACATTCATCGGTACATATTCACTGCAAACAGACTATAGTTGAGTTATTCAATGCGCCGTTACCGTATAAAGTAGTTTTCACATGGAAATACATCCTTGTTCTTAAATTTTGAGAGTTCCGACATAATAGTAGATGTATTTACTATCTAGACCTTCTGCAATCCGATTATCTTATAACAAACTAGTTTTCCCCCTAAGATTTTAGTTGGTGCCGTTTTCGCCATAAGATTTGTAGCCGTTTTCGCCAAGTCGAGGTTCCGTTATGTGCAAATGGTGCCCTTTTCGCCAGGTGCCGTTTTGCTGTGGTGACGTTTTAGCCTGAACCCAAATTATCATCATTCTTCATGCATAGTCCATATAAGAAATGAGCGGTATTTGCCTGTTGGTCACTTTTCTCGACTAGCATAACAGACTCCGGTTAAAACATAAACGTAACTTCCAACTTTCTGAAAAAGAAGTAGCACGAACACATCGGCAGTGTGAGATTTACCGAGAAAACATAATGAACAGTAAATAACCTGTGTCTGACTATGTGATTGCCAATCTTGATGCTGCCTTTTCCTGCCTCGTTTAGACCGACCCATTGGGAAGTTGCGTGTGTATTCCTCTCGTACAGTTAAATTACTTGTTGTCGGTAAAATTATCTGACAAGTCTTCACAGTTTCAAGAGTAAACAAACAAACAACGTCTCGTGCAACAAGTCTGCATCAAAACTCAAACATGCCGCATTCAAACCCGGAAGTATTCGATATTACTCCGCTGAATCGACAGCCACTTCTGTCTTACAAAACTATTCTAATTTTGAAAAGTATGTTTAACTCTTATATTTGTCATAAACTGCAAAGGGACAAGGAAGGACACGTACTTGTTCAATTATAAGACAGCAGTATGTAACGGATTATATTACTTCAGACCCGAATGTAAACATTTCCGGTAGTTGCAACCCGCCCCAAATCACACGTGTTTTTCAGAGGCCGCTCAGGGTTTGTGAAAACACGAGACCTTCCGAAACGGTAATGTAAGTGCATCTTGTGTTAAAATGAATACATTGCAGGCGTGATTTTCATTTTTCGAAAGGGTTATTCATTAGCTGTTAACGTAATAAATCCAATTAGTTCCCATTCACGCCGATTTGTGCGCGTGTGGTTTAAATCTAGCTATTACCCCAGCTGACCTGGGTACGTTGTTATCCCATTTCAACGTTAGAAATGTCACATGATCTTTTTTTGCACAGACGACATCAAGCTTTACTCTGTCTCTCTTTGTTAGTTGTTTACCTTGAAGATAGAAAAACGGAAGCAGTTCACTGTGATAAGAATCACTCCGGCCTAGTGGTAGTGCAATATGTAGAACATGTGGTCGACAAACATGCAGTTTGAAATTGAAGTCCTTACAATCTTCATGAAAGCAGAAATTATCGAAAAACCTCAAACCTCCTGTGTCAGAGAACTGCTGTCTACATTACCTAGACAATGGGCCCCAAGCTTAGTCCTATTAGGAAACATTTCCGCCAGTAATCCGCGTTTTTTATATCATTCTAAGCCTAAGAATAGATTTTTTTATATTGTTTATATACTAGGCACGTAAAGAAACTGTGCATACAAAAATTTAAAATCTAACTTTATCAAACCTGTGTAGACACATAAGGATTTAAACTCAGAGATGAGTGACATGTATCCAACATGCATGCACGTGCCGTTCCGTGACGTCAGTGGGTTCGTCCTTGAGACGTGCAATACGTTGTTGCACGTGCATTCCGGGAAAGAGAAACATAGCAAATGAATGCCACACAATAGTGTCACTTTGGAAAGCTCAACCCCTGCCCTTGCGATCGTTCAAGAAATTAAACGGCTATTGAAACGCATAGCATGCCAAGGCTCACGTCTGCACAACGTCATGAGGCCATTGGGATGGTCCGTGGGGGAATGTCTCAACGACAAGTGGCTGCACATTTCCACTGCCACCGGAACACCATTTCTGCACTGGTGAGGCGCTACCAGAACACAAATGACGTCATCGATTGGCCACGTTCTGGACGTCCACGTGTAACAACTCCAATACAGGACAGATGGATAAGTGTGACCCATCTTCGCCAAAGGTTTCAGACTGCAGTGATGACTGCCCGAACCATCCCAGGACCTCGCCGTATCCACCCCAACACAGTTCGACAACGACTTAGCCGTATCCACCCCAACTCAGTTCGACAAAGTTTACGTTATGCACAGGCCTGTGTCTTGGAGAGGAATCGCTTTGGTGGTGGTTTTGGATGATTTGGGGTGGAATAACAGCACGCCAAAGAACTCCTTTTGTGATTGTTCAGGGCAACTTAACTGGTGTGGGCTACAGGGATCAGATTCTTCGACCTGTGGCAATTCCTTTTCTGCAACGTCATGGCCCTGGGTTAACATTCCAACAGGACAATGCCCATCCTCATACGGCAAGGGTTGCTATGGATTTCTTGCAACACCACAATGTTGACTTACTGCCTTTTGTATATACCTCTGTTTGATCGAATTTTCGATCAAAACGGTCCGGGGGGCGAGGCGAAGAGAGTTCCGATCATAATTTCACCCAGACTGAGGCCTCTGTTTGATCGAATTTTCACCCAATCTGAGGCATCGCCATTATATTCATTTCGGTGTTATGCCTATAAAGTACTGGTGAGGTTTTCGCGACGACTCATACCTCTGGTAGACGTCGATGTTAAACATGACTTCAGCGGTTAAAGATGTCCCGAAGTCTCTCTCAGCGCAAGTCGTAGTGGAACCGAATTCGCGTTGTCATTTGGAATTAGGCCACAAAGTGTACATGTCGGCCAAGATGTGGAATGGCAAGCTGGGTATACATATCAGAAAATACGTCACGTATCGCAACGGCAAGTCTTATCCTACCAAATCGGGTCTGAGTCTGAACTTGAAGCAATGGCTCAGTTTACCCGATGGTTTTGTACAAGTGGACGAAGCTAGGAAAGAAGGGACTGAGGGGCGCAGTATTCATCTGGGGGGTAATCTCTACCTTACGTTAGACGATGACGGAGTGGATGTTAGAAAGTGGACTTGGGATCACGAAAACTAAACAGCTGACAGATGACAAAGGAATTATTCTTTCTAAGGATCAATGGGAGACGCTGAAGAGTTGCATTCCGGAGATGTTTGACTATGTTACCCAATTGAAAGACATGATTCCTTGTATTCTTCAAGAGGATCACCAAAATTAGGTGGGTTATCTGAGGTGTAGCTTCTGTAACCCCAACGATTATTGGAACTGGTAGATACCACGTGACAGGAGGATGAAATCCCGTGACATTGTACAAAGTTAGTCATTAAGCCGTAGACGGGGCACGGTAGTTAAGGACGAATGTCACATGATTCGGATCACGAATAATAACTCGTGTTCGTTCGTCTCGCCATTACCTCCATAGACGTTGGACCGCGAAGACGTGACTTAGTGCGTCTCTGCGATTTGAATATGAAGCGGCTCACGGGGATATTCTCAGACGGAACCAGGTGGGACTCGTGGGAAGTATACGCCGTGTAGAAGACGTGGTACAAAAATTGATAGAGTGCAAAGTCCTCACCAAATTCATGGAAGCCGAAATTATGGAAAAATATCAATCGACTTACGATCGTATTAGAAAACTCTTGTACACCTTGCCAAGACGCGGACCCCGAGCTTACACCGCCTTCTGTAAAGCTTTAGAGGAATGCGGAGAGTCGGAAGCGTTGAAGTTACTGGGTACGGAGACTGGATCGGACCTCAAGAATATGATGGACGTCTGCGGTTATCTCGACCAGCACGTGGTTGCCAATTACGCTGCAATATTGCCCCCAAAGCTGGATTCGAATTCGTTCGAGAAAAGGTTGGACTCCTTTAAGAACTGGCCTATTCAAATGAGTCAAGACCCACGAGATATGGCTCACGCTGGTTTAACTTATCTGAACAGAGGAGACTCTTGTACGTGTTTCAAATGCGGCATACGTCTGAAGGAATGGAAGACCACGGACAATCCGTGGATCGAACACGAAATGGTCCCCCGACTGTCAATACATCAGAATGGTAGGAGTGTTCCAGACCGGAAGTAGAGAGAGACTTTCCCAAACTCATCGTTTGTTTCCATAAATATATCTATGTATGTCCATACACGAATGAATGCTGTATACATATGTACTCGAATAATGTAGGTTGTATAAATAAAAATAGTGCTTTCTTATATTTGTGTCAAAGAGGTTCATTGGTTCGCTGTATAAAAGTGACGTTTTAGATATCAGTCGTTAGTTTGTCGTCATGGCTCCGTGGGAAGAGTACCTGAGCAAAATGTATTACGACCCGAACATCCCGGTAGTTATGCGGTCCTAAGAAACTATACTGAAGCAGTGAAAGCCGAGGGGCCGGTATAAAATTGGCTTACATAGAATCAAGAAATGGTTGAAGGAACAAGACATTTATACCATGACTCATCAGGTCAGACGAAAATTCCCAAGAAATGAGTACGTGGTTGAAGGTTTAGACAGTCATTGGCAATCTGATCTTATGGACATGACATATTTAGCCAAGTACAACGATGGAATCAAATATCTGATGGTCATGATAGACTTGTTCTCCAGATATATCTGGGTCTTTCCACTCGAGTCTACCAAGGGCCAAGAGGTGGTGAATGCGTTGACTGAGTTATGGAATACTCGAGGTCGGAAGCCTAATATTTTTCAATCGGATATGGGATCAGAATTTAAGAATCGTTGGGTCAAAGACTTTTTGAAAAAGCACAAAGTGACACAACTATTTGCTCTGAACGAAACGAAAGCCCCCTATGCCGAAAGAGTCATTAAAACCATCAAAATGAGGTTGTACCGATACATGTTGAAACGTGTTACTCATCGGTATATCGACATTGTACCCAAAGTAGTTGAAAGTTACAACAACACGAATCACAGAATGTTAGGTCAAACGCCTAAGAGTGTAACTAAGGCCAACGAGAGTGAAGTAACACTAAATCAATATTTGATCAAGACAAAAGGACGGAAACCAGTGAGAAAGAACTCAAAGCGAAAATATACTTTCCAGGTGGGAGATAAAGTAAGAGTGAGTCATCTGAGACAGACATTCGACAGAGAATACCAGGAGAAATGGTCGGGTGAAATCTTTACCATTACTAGTCGCTACTGGTCTCAAGATAACGACTTGTACAAATTGAAAGATTGGGGAGGTGATCCATTCCAAGGCACCTTTTATGCCGCTGAACTTCAATCCGTTACCGAAAATCCTGATCAAGAATACAGGATACAAGAAATTATCAAAAGAAGAACACGAAACAAACGGAAAGAAGTTTTGGTGAAATGGCTTCATTGGCCTAAGAAATATAACTCGTGGATTCCTGAAGAGGATGTGAAGCAATATCAGACCTAAATATATAGTGCTAACTCTACCGAGTCACATCAGTAGCGATGGAAGATGCGGAACAAGTCACACCTATGACAGCGAGTCACCGATCTGAGAGTTGGACATTTTGGGGTAAAAAAGTCGCCAAAACGGAAACTGTCTTTTTCTCCCAGATTATCATCATTTATTTTGTGGTCATCACGTGCATCGTCAACTTGTCCTTGGACCGAGGCAATTCCAATCTGTGGACGGCCCTGTTGAGCAGTTCTCTGGGCTATTTACTTCCCAACCCAAAGATTAAGAAACATGGATAAATACCTGGTGCTCCGAAGTACAGACTGTCAAGATCTCTACCCCCAGAACCAAGGACACACCT